CCCTGAAGTCCTCTCAGGGTTCGGGTTTTCATCCCAGGGTTGGTTTGGGATTTGGGCATTTGGGGTGTAGGGTTTAGGGTTTGTTTAGGGTGTAGGGTTCTTGGTTTAGGATTTAAGTAGGGCTTAGGCTTTCGGCTTTTGGGGTTTTAGGTTTCAGGGTTTACTTTTGAGTTCCGCCTCCTTGCTCATCGTCGCCGCCTTCTTGGCGGCCTTTGCGCCGCGGTCCCGTCGGACCCGCTTCGGCAAACCTATAGCAAGATGGGAAGGCACCCCGGCTTGCAAAACTACTACAATATAGGATAATTTAGCATCATATAGTATCATATAGTATCAAAAAAACTACTAGTTGCTTAAGAGGCCCGGAAAAGTTAGAACATATTCTTCCTTATTAAGGGCAATATTGGGATTATTATGTTTTGTTCTTTTGGGATTCTTATGCAAGTAGTAGAAAAGGGTCTGTAGGGCCTTGAGGGCTTTAGGGCTTAGGCGTTTAGGGGGTAGGGTTGAGGGTTTGAAGGTTTTAGGGTTTCAAGGTTGCGGGGAGTTCACTGGGAAGATACAGGACCCCTAAAACCGAAGCCTCCAAATCCTAAATCCCAGAATGCTTGACCAAGAATGGACACAAACAGCAGGGTTAACATTTCCCGCAGGAAGCTCACTAAACCCTAAACCTTAAACCCTCAAAGCCCCAAGCCGCCAATGACGAGCAATGCTTGGAGGGTTGAGGGTTCAGGGTTGAGGGTGAACAGCACCTAGGGTGTTAGGGTGAAGGGTCCAGGGTTCAGGGTTGAGCCCTGGAGACCACAAAGCATGCAAAAGAGGCGAAGGCGCCTGTCACGGCGCTGATCTCCGCCGACCTCGATTTGATACCCTGAACCCTGAACCCTGAACCCCAACCCTAATCCCTAAACCCTGAACCCTAAACCCTAACCCCTGAAAATCTCAACCGTGCAGTAGTAGCTCGAAGCGTGCAGGATGCAGGGATCCCAACTCAAAAGCCCCCTTAAGGCTGTAACCCCAAAAAGGGGGCTCCCTGAGTGCACTCCTCATGTGGGCGTTTCTGTGAAAGAAGGGGGTACCTTATTCGGGTCCTTGTTACAAGGGAACTCTACCATTTGGGGGTGCTATTTGAGTTCCCCTATTTTCGTAAAATCCCCATATGCCTTCCTTCCCTTCCCCTGCTCCGGCCCATCCCCTTAGATGGCTCCCTATGGAACCCCTGAGAAGAATCCCTTCGGGGATCTAGACTCTGAGCAGCTTCAAGAGGCCCTCAACCCTAAACCCTACACCCCTCGACCCTAAACCCTAAACCCTAAACCCCAAACCCTAAACCCTAACCCTAGACCCCTCTATACCCTAAACCCCGCTGACTGCGCAAAGAGCGGCTCCACCCTTTTGGCCTTCATGGCCACCGCGGCTGCCGCCTGGCAAGTGAGTTAGGGTTTAGGGTTTAGGGTTTAGGGTTTAGGGTTTAGGGTTTAGGGTTTAGGGTTTAGGGTTTAGGGTTTAGGGTTTAGGGTTTAGGGCTTAGGGCCTAGGATTTAGGTTTTAGGGTCTAGGGTCTAGAGTTTAGGGTTACTGACTTGGAGGTTCATGCTACTTATTAACAAATGTTACCTGTACTTATAACCCACTTATAAGCCCCTTAAGTGCCCTAACATGGTTATAAGTACAGTCATAAGTACAGATATTAAAAATTGGTTAATAAGCACCATGATGGGGTTTAGGCCTTGTCGAAGTATAGGTTAGAGGGTTGGGGGTACCATTATTTTGGAGGGAGGGCTAACAAAAACCAGACCACCCCCTCCCGCCTCCCCCCTTAGCCCTGTAAGGCAAACAAAACCCTGTCAAAAAAGGCCAAAGCCCTAAATTCTCAGCCCTCAACGCCTTCTTCACCATCGTGATCAAGTCGCGTGGGGTGGCAGACAGGTGAGGCGCAACGCTTTAGAGCAAAATGCTCGCGGTTCAGGGGATAGGGTTTTGGGGGGCACGTGGCTTGGGGTTGTGGCTTTGGCGACTAAAGGACTAAAGGGCTTTGGGGTTTTGGCATGGTTTTAGCGGTGTAAGGATACTTGGCTCCTTGAGATTTTGGCTTGTAGCTTATAAGACTCTGCGGCTACGGATTCGATCGGCCTGCGGCAAACCCTAAACCCTAAACCCTAAACCCCAAACCCCAAACCCAAAACACCAAAGGAGAGGCCCACGTTCTGAGGCCGAAGTGTGGTGGGAAATCGGAACGTAAGCAGCGTGTCAGGAGCTGCTAATTCATAAAGGCCCATGGTACCGAAGCACTCCTCGCTACACCATGGTAGGTTTTGGGTTTAGGGTTTACGGTTTAGGGTGTAGGCTTTAGAGTATATTAGGGCTGGGGATTGAGGGCTGAAGGAGATTCCAGAAATCGCCAACTCCAGACGAAATATCTCCTTCAAAAGAGCATCGCTTGGGGATCTTTCAACTGGCCCTCATAGATGATGCTTACAAAACTCAGAACGCGATGTTCAAAGCTGGGACTCAGACTGTGTAGAAACAAACACAAAAGCCCGTGCAAACACCATGCATCCTGTTTCTTCGCTTCGCCGTGCCCACATGCATTGTGCCCTTTCCATGGCTTCTGGCAAGCTATGGTCTCGAACGACTCTGGCATGGCGTTTGCCAATACTCAGAAGCAACATGGTGGTTTCCGAACATAGGGAGGGGGGGCATACCCTTTCTGGGGGGTCCCTCTAAGCGGATTCTATTCTACTTGTGGTAAAGGCCCCCATTTTCGGAAATACCCACATTTTCGGGTGGAGGTCCAAAATTCGGGCCTCAAGGACCCGACTGGGTCTTTGATGGCGCTGTCAGCCTTTCAGGCGTTGTGAACATGTCGAGCCCACGCACGCCGAAAAGGGTTCAAGATCCCTGTATACTACGAAACCCAAAATTACAGACAGAAAGCGCTACAGTGCCATTATAAGAAAGATTCGTTTTTATGTTTTGGGGGGGTTCTTAAGCAGCTAGTAGCCAAGCAGCCATCGTGAGGCTCGCTGGCGGACATGCAGCGATTACCAAGTGGAGCCATCCTTCTCGAGTTTCCCCATCAAGGGAAGAGCAAAGCCCACGACCACTTAGGGCTCAGCAAGTTGCTTCCCAAATTGGCCCAGCCCACATGGGGGTTTACAACAACAGGGGACCCCAAGAATAGATCCCCACGTAGGAGGACCCCAATAAGGTACCCCTCAACCCTAAACCCTAAACCCCAAACTCTAAACCCTGACCCTAAACCCTGTGTTCGGAACCCGCCATATGATGCCCAATCATTCCCAATTATGGTAACGAGAAGACACTGGTGGCCTAAATCCCAGGGCTCGGGGCTTCGGACGTGTTTAGGGTTTATGGTTTAGGGTTTGGGGCTTGGGGTTTAGGGTTTAGGGTTTCAGCTTTTGGGGGTCTCCGGGGGCTTTGCTACATCCCGGAAAATACGGCCAAAAGCATTGGCACGCAAGGCCAATAGACCGCATCTACCCAACACTCTCTGAAGGTGCGCTTGCACTCGCAGCACTGCGTACCGCATCGCCTGGAGTGGGGCCTGGGGCCTAGGGATACAGGCTGAGAGCACCTAGACAGACCACCACTGGCCTAGTAGACAGATCTTGCGTTTCAGCAACTTAGAGTGTGCATTAGCTATGTCCAGGGATCCCCCCGGCAATTCCTAATAGGGCTTGGTTCCTCACAACCCCCCCCCCCACCCGCCCACGCAGCCACAAAAGAAGTAGCGACAGCCCACATACAAAGCCAAAGCCTGCACACTCAACAGAGAAGTGCAGCCTGGATATCTGAGGGCTTTCCTGACACACGTGAGTTTTGCGGGATTGCCCCGTCTAAGGCCGGATTGGTAATCCCTCAACCCTTCAACCAAAGAGGCTTAGGATTCTGCGTGTTTGAAGAGAAGAAGTAATATGGCTGCCTCCAGGTTCCTACCCCCTCATCCAGCGATGCCAAAACCATGTTCTAATACGAAATTGATCGCATCCATGGTGGGCCTTGCATGGCTGGTCAGCACCAACCAGACACCTACGTGAACCGTGCTACAAACTCGCTACCCCTTCCTAGCTCCAGATTGACGCCGTGATCTTGTGAACTTGGAGCCCCCCCATGGAAGTCGGGAAAAGGAGGCGCTACCCCACTTCAAGGGTCGAAGCCTGTGGTGAGCACCACAGCGCGTCAGCGCGTCGCGTAGGTAAGCACAAGCACCTCAAGAGCTATGACCGATGCTTCTTTGGGAGCTCTTGGCTAAAATTGTCAGCTTCAACAGGCCCTCAACCCTAAACCCGTCCCGAACCTCTGAACTGAAGGGGCCCTGGCCCCGAAGCCTATAAAAGTGAATCTCGGGGTTACGTGAATCGATGCAGTGATTTGATGTAAGCTTTAGGACCGGGTGTCACAATTTGCGGTTGGGGCCGTAGGTCGAGGGCTTGCATAAGGTTCTGAACCCCCAAACACCAAAGCCTGTTGATGATTTGCGAGCCTATATAGGAGGCTTGGGGTCAGGGCGTAGACAATCCCTAAACATGCATGCAAACATGACATGCAAAAAAGAGCCAGTTGCAAACACTTTCTGGGTTGTGCTTTCAGCTATTTGTTGAGAGAATTACTGAATACGTCCCTTATAAGGACAGAAGTGAAAATGAGAAGTAGCTCAGACCAGCTAGATGCTAACTCGTACACTCCAAACCCGCAACACGCGCCCAACCCGAAACCCTCAACCCCAAACCACAAGGTAGGTTTGGCGCTCACACGATGTTTTTCAACTAGTTTCTTGGGCTTTGAACGGCTTAAAAGAAGCGGGGGGGGTTGGGGGGTCTGCGCCCCCCATTTGCAAACACCCTGCTCACATGATGGGCCCTATAAATGTGACATATTTATGGCTTTATAAGGATTCTGTAGGGATTATGTAGGGATTACGCGTGCTATGTTCAAATCAATCCCTGAAACCCCAATCTGCCTAAAGTTCTCGCCTCCTACTTCGTCTTCGCCGGCCAGGTCTTCAGCACACCCCTTCGCGTACCCACCGACTTCTTGGAGTAGCCTTCGCGACCGCTTAGTGCTCAGGGTAGGGTTCAGGGTTTAGGGTTTAGTTGATAGGGTTTATAGGGTTTATAGGGTTTATAGGGTTTATAGGGTTTATAGGGTTTATAGGGTTTATAGGGTTTATAGGTTTGTAGGGCGTATCGAGTTTATAGGGTTTAGGGTCCAGAGATTAGGGCTCCGATCGTTCCCAGCCTACGGCTAGAGCCAATGCGGGAGCCCATCTCGGACGACGGAATTGCCCAGGATGGCCCTTATACCCCTCTGAAAAAATATTCCTGACTATGATCCTAAAACCCAATAAGGGAAAACACAAAAAGTCCCGGCCTACAGTACCTAGTTACGGATACTGCGCCGCAGGCTTCGGTCACACGACTCAGCAACGAGGGTGGGCAATGCAGGGAAACTCGGTGGGCCTCTCCGACAGATTTCTGCGCATGCGCAGTGAGTGCTCAAGAGATACCTTGTGGGACTTTCTGCACGCTTCTCTGAGGTCTACGAGGTGCGCCTGGTGTACTGGTTTAGGCATCAAGCCCTGACAAGAGTAGACTGCAGCTCGCCCCCCCCCCCCTCGCACCCCCAAATAGCACCGGACAAGTTTAAAACAAACACGCACACACACAGAGAAAAAAAAAAGACACACCACAACAACCCCAGCAATACCCTGGAGCCCAGAAAGAACCAAACACCCTAAACTCATCTGTCAACCCATTCTAGCCCTAAACACCCGAAACCCCCTAAAACCCCCCCAAACCCTAAATCCAAATTCCTAAACCCTAAACCCTAAACCCTTAAACCCGACCCCATTCTGGCCTTGGGGTTCCGGGAGAAGGGTGTAGCGCTTGTCGTCCTTGTTCGGATGGTGGAAGCCTCCGCTGCGAAGTGCTTTGATTTGAGGTTTAGGGTTTAGGGTTTAGGGTTTAGGGTTTAGGGTTTAGGGTTTAGGGTTTAGGGTTTAGGGTTTAGGGTTTAGGGTTTAGGGTTTAGGGTTTAGGGTTTAGGGTTTAGGGTTTAGGGTTTAGGGTTTAGGAGGGGGGTTTAGAGGGCTTTCAGGGATTTTAAGGTTACAGTTTGTTTAGGGGATTTGGAGGGCCGTTCGAATTGCGGGCAGGACCACATTACCCATTCTAAGGGAAACATGGTTTCAGCCCCTAGAAAGCGTGAGACCCGAAGCCCTACAGTAACCCTAAAGACCTAAACCCCCTAAACATCCTATATCCCAAACACCTCTAAACTCCAAACCTTCCCAATCCCTGCACCTCTAAAACCCCCAAAGCCCTCGACGACCCCCCTAAACCCCAAACCTTAAACCCCCCTAAACATCCGTAAACCCCCTTAGCCCATCCAAAACTGTATAGGTGTGTATACGTATGTATGCATGCATGTATGTAACTTAGTTGCTGAGTTCATAAGCCCCAAAAAAGTGTACACTTTCAGTTCTACAGGGGATTATAGCATCCCAAAAAGTCTAAAGTGTGCTCACTCAGCTACTAAGGTAAAAAACAGCCCTACAGCCAAGGTGCTGAACTTCTTGAGCTCCTTCTGCACGCTGGGAGGTGTCTTGGCCTGGCAACTTCCAGGATTCTTTGGGCGCAGAGCTGCTCACAAGACCCTAAGCCCTCAAACCCTCAGATAATATAGGGGGTCTAGGGTTCAGGGTTCAGGGTCTAGGGTTTAGAGTACTGCCTTATGGTCCCTATATAATTTGGCTATGATCACCCACCAAAACCCTATTCTAGCTACTAAGGCCCCTAAAAGCAGCTTGGGCGCGTGGCAGCCACAGCAGAAGTAGACCACACTGAAGCGCTGCCCATCGAAGTCGTGGACCTGACGGCCGGTATATTTAAGAGGGCTGGGGGAGTAGGGTTTAGGGTTTAGGGCTAGGGTTTAGGGTTTCAAGGCGGCTTGAGGGCAACAAACAATAGGGGGCTGGACAAGTTCAGGGTTTAGGGCGACTAGCAAAACCTCCTGGCGCTCACTTCCGACGACGTCTGCCTAAGTCCTTGAAGGGATGCGTAGTTTGGGGACACTCACAGGAAACCACCCTAAACACCCCCAAACACCCCCAAATACTTGAAAACAACAGGACCCCAGACACCTGGCAGTCTCGAGACTTCCGGCACCAAGAGCCCCAGCACCCTTCCTTAGGTTTGTTTTTATTTGACTAGGGTTAGGATTTAGGGCTTAGGGGCTTAGGGTTTAGGATTTAGGGTTTAGGGGCTTAGGGTTTAGGATTTAGGGTTTAGGGAATTAGGGTCCCAAAGTCTTTCAGAGCCTTCAAGACTTCCCAGTCAGAATCCGTTCCCTCGCATCCCCCGGAAACCCAGCCTCGTGCGCGGTGTTGCCGTTGAAGAGCACGAGGTTCTTCTTGATGTCGACCTATGGTGCAGAAGGCCCATGCCACAAACCCTCAACGAGCATTCCAGTTTAAGGAACGAGCATTCCAGTTTAAGGAATGAGGGGATGAGGTACCCTAAATATTCCTTGAGGGGTATATATATATATATATAGCGCCCTAATTCCCTAATTCCCTCGTTCCCTACTAAGAACCGGGAAGAGTAGGGTGCGTAGGGATTCTGGGACTTGGGCTCTCGGGTTTCAGGGCAGCTTTCAAGACCAAAAGCTTGAAAGCCTCCAACGACTAAGGGTCGATACTTGGTTAAACAACCCAAAGCCCAACAAGCCCAAAACCGTATGCGTCAAGAACACCCTCAACTTCTGCTGAAAATCCCAAGAAGCACGTTACCGCCCCAAAGAATTCTGCAGCCGCACACACCGAAAAATCCGAAGCCCAGGCACTATGCCACTATGCCCCATGGTTTCGAGGTCTAAGCTTACACGACTTGAACTAATTCACTTCGCCAACCCACCCCTAATCCCCATCTTCGTCAAGTTTTCGGATTCAGAAGTGTGCAGTGCGGAGGCTCAAGGTAATGGGGTTTAATGTGTAGAGTTCAGAGCTTAGGGCTTAGGGATTAATACAGGGCCTCAATAGTTGCCAACGTCATCCCCTTTTCATCCCCGCTTAGTACCCGAATGCAAACTCTGATTCTAGTTAAACATAGTACGGCACCATATCAAAAAGGACCCCCAAAGGGAACCCTGACTCAGAGAACAGCCCCTATGTAGGGATTCTAGAAAGGAAACGCGAAATTCCAAACCCCAAACCCAAAACCCTAAACCCTCAAATCTATTCTAAACCCTGAACCGTGAACTCTAAACCCTAAACCCGGAACCCTAAACCCTAACCCTAAACCCTAAACCCTAAAACCTATAGGCTCCTGCATGACGACCCCGTAAACCCCAAATCTTGGGGGCTGCCAAGAATCTGTCTTCTTCTGACTCTCAGGCCTGGGCCAGGGGGCCCAGAAGGTGAAAGTTCAGGATCCCTAAAACCGCACGAGGGATCTAGCAATAAACCCTAGACCCTAGACCCTAGACCCTAAACCCTAAACCCTAAACCCTAAACCTCAAACCTCAAACCCCAAACCCCAAACCCTTAACCCGAAACCCTACACTTGCTTGCGGGAACTCCTCTCCGAGTGGACATCATGGGGCGCGTTGCCGGTCTGTGCTGGTAGGGGCGATTCTTGGATGTGCTTCCCTGCTTTCATCATCAATGGGTAAAAACTCAAAAATCCGACGTGGAGGTCGAAGCTGTCATGCTAAGATCAACATATGCAACACACACACACACACACACACAAATTGGAAGACTGACTAAGACAGCTCCGGGATGGATCTTTGGGACCAGGCGTTGAGTACTAAAAAGGGACTTCACGGGCCTTTCCAGCTGTTGACCCTGAACCCGAAACCCCCAACCCCAAACCCCAAAACCCAAACCCTGAGCCCTAAACCCTAAACCTGCGAAGCCATAAGCTTGGGTCAGGGGTGTGGTGCAGGTGGCGAGTTATACAAGGGGCCGTGTTACATCAGGGACCGCAACAAGGGACCATCAATTAACAGATCTGATGACCACGTAAAGTTTAAGAGGCCACTCATCTCGCTGGTGCGACTCAAGGTGAAAGCGAAAAGCGGATCCTTGCATGAACAGAAACAGCCGTAGAAAGTGGAGGGCAAATCCCCTTATAGCGCCGCTTTATCATCGATCCAGCTGGTGAGAATCGAACTGCGAAGAGAGCCCCACAAGCGCCAGCTATAGGACAGAAGTGGATGCGGACAACCACCAAGCTGTTTCATTCCACATATTCTTTACCAGTCGTCGTACATTTTTGACTCTGTTGAGAACTGACATCTGCACAGCACAAACACAAAACCCAACCCTAAACCCTAAACCCTAAACCCTAAACCCTAAACCCTAAACCCTAAACCCTAAACCCTAAACCCTAAATCCTAAACCCTAAACCCTAAACCTGAATGTCCAAGGTGCAGCTCGTGCAGCTTCTGCGACTTGTCGTCTTCGGGCCATACCTTGGGCGCTGTGTCTGAGGTATTGGTTTAGGGTTTAGGGTTTAGGGTTTAGGGTTTAGTGTTTAGGGTTTAGGGTTTAGGGTTTAGGGGTTATACGTAAGCCTGCAATGCATCCTAAACTGCCCCTCGGCGCAAATCAAAGCAGTCAGACGTTTCAGTGTTTGGGTTATACGTACAGTTATATTTGGTTAATACGTACCATGAACCTCCTAACAAGAAATCTCGTCAAACAAGCCATATGGATAAACCCTAAACCCTAAACCCTACATCCTAAACCCTAAACCCTAAACCCTCAAGCCCTAAGAAAACCAAAAACACACGCAAGAGGCCAGGCTCTTGCAGTCTAAGATGCAAGAGAGCCTTTGGATTCCTGAGGCCTGGCTTTTTGGGCTCATGGTGCGTATTTACCAATCATAACTGTACTTATAACCATATTCGGGCACGCTTAAGGGGCTTATAAGTGGGTTATCAGTACAGTTATGATTTACGGTAAACCCCCTAAACCCTAAACCCCCTAAACCCTAAACCCCCCTGGGTTTTTGGGCTGACAGCCCAAGCTCTTGAAGTCTTTTGCTTGGCCGCCCAGTAACCATATGGGAGTTTCCGAAAATAGGGGTACCTTTTTTGGGGTTTGGGTTGTTTAACCCTAAACCCTAAACCCTAAACCCCAAGTTGCTGCTGCCCAAGCACGCTGAGCTCACCGCCGGTGAAATTGCCGAAGGCCTCCCATCAATAGGAAGAGATCGTCTCGTTGTATCCCTAAACCCCAAACCCTAAACCCTAAACCCTAAATCCTAAGCCCTAAATGCCCTGACCATAAACCTCGGGTTCTGCATTCCGCAGATTCTGGGTGTTCTCAGGTCTCTCAGGAGACTGGTTAATGAACCTTCGGCCTTGCGGATTCAACCTGCGTTTAAACTGTTCAAGCTGCAGCCAAGAGCCTTGTCTTGTGCTGGGGTGAACTCGGGTTAGGGGTTTGGGGTTTAGGGTTTAGGGTTCTCTTCAACACTTCCGACGAAGATAGTTGGATGGCTCGGAAGTAGATGCCTTCAAAACAGACCAATGCTCATGACAGGGCCCCTGGTTTGAGGGTTCTACTTTCTGGATTCTTGAAAAAGGGGAATCCCCAGAGCTGAACTTGAACCCTAAACCTTACGCCCAAAGCACAGTACTTTCACCCTGGGACCCGGGGGGGGCATGGGGGGGGGCTGGCTTGGGGGCGACGTGGGGTGAGGAGGGGCAGCCAGCTGACACCCCGACGTATGGCGTGCAAGTTGTCAGTGGTCCAGCTGGGCATGTTTTGGGGGACAACCCTAAACCCTAATCTACCCCGCAAGCCCTATAAGCCCCAGCGCCTGGATGAACGAAGGACCGAAGTTGTTCCCATCTCGATGACGCCGGGCGGCATAGTTGCCTTGGCTATGCGGCCAATAAGCTTTACTTCTCCAGTGATCTAAGGGACCAAGAAGTTAATGACCCTTGGATGGTAAAGGGATCATACTGGGTACTTATGGATTGTCCGCTTCCGTGGAACATGCCACAACAACAAAGGCTTCTCTGACTCAACACACCCGGCCCCCACATTCCTCACCAGACCCAATTTCACTGAAATGTTAAGACATGGTATTTTGCTGGGGCAAGTTTCCTTGACAACGGGGGCAACATTATAACAGGGACCTGAGAAAAGGACCTCAGATGGAAGATCAACAACAACAGGCACAAAACGTTACTTGGGGCGGGGGGGAGGGGGATATTTTCGGGCCTAGGGCCCCTGTCTGGTAGTTTTGGATTCAGGACAACCTCAAAGAAACACAGCGGACATCCCCAATGTCACATCCTAAACCCTCCAAAGCCCCAACACCCTAATCCCTAAACTAAGCTGAAACCCTCACACCCTGAACCCCAAACAGAAAACCAAAAACCCAAACCCCAAAGGCCAAGTTCAAGGCGAGGGGCAGTTGAGGTTAATGGATGTCCTGGGTGGCTCTTAGCTCACGTAAGACCTAGGCCCTTAAACCCTGAACTGTGAGGACTTCGGGGTTGAGGGGGTCTAGGGCGGTTTTCGGCAATGTTGTTAGCTTGTGGGGCTTTTTTTTTTTCAGGGGCGTTCGGAGGTAGAGCCTTAGGGCCTAGGACCAACTTAGGAAAATAGGTTCTTTTTATTGGTTTTTTGCTCTTCTTTTGTTTGGGGGGGGGGGGGGGGGGTGTGTTTGTCGATCCAAATGCCCTTTCAGGTCTGGGATTTAGCCTTGAGGCTTGAGAGCTTAAGGGGGGACTTAAGGGAAGAGGCCATAAGGCTTTCACCATAACTTAAGCCCCAAAAGCCCAAAGGACCTGAATGCAGCCAGAAGGGAGGGAAGAGGCCTAGACCCTGTAAATCTGAAATTCCAGGCCCTAAACCTTCAACCCTAACCCTAAACCCTAAACCCTAAACCCTAAACCTTCAACCCTAACCCTAAACCCGAAACCCTAAACCCTAACCCCAAACCCTAAATCCTAAACGCTAAACCCTTCTTAAGAACCCAAGACTCGGACTTGGGATTCGGGAACTTCGCCCTGATCTTGGGTGTGGGGAATTAGGGTTAGGGTTTCAATCCCAGTCTCCAAGTTACCTCAGAATCTCATGCTGCGGGTTTTGCGACAAAAGCCGCCAACAATGGCTTTGGGTCAGGGTCCAAAATCTCCGCACAAAGCGGAGCCCTTCGTTGCCCAAGGGGGTTTTATCATGCAGTTCCGAGCACTGTTCGGAAGCCTCGGACCCTCCTGACATGTGATTTGCATGCGCGTGCATCCTGTGCCTCAAGACTTACGCAGAGGGTCGATTTGTAGTACCATTATGGGTTTAGGTGCCCCGAAACCCTATGTAGAATGGTTTTTGGTACCTAAATTCATAATGGTACTACAAATGGACCCCTCTGGGTTAGGCTAGGAAAAGACGAGAAAGCCTTGAACAAACGACGCGCGCCCGAACGACGGCGTGCCTGGGTGGGTTTTCCCTACCACACCCAATCCCCCTGGTTCTTAGTAGGGGTTGAGGGAATGAATTAAGGCCCTATATATGCCCTCTAAGGGCTTATATAGGATTCCTCATTCCCTCATTCCCTACAAAGTACCAGCCAGCAGCGGTAGCACAGGGATAGGTCGGGGCCATAAATCGGCCACCAGGACGCCACTTGAAGGACTTCGCCTCGTTCGGCAGGCGCTGCAGCAAGAACTTGTTCAGCCTGTGCGGGTCTGGGGTTGAGCGGCTTCGGGGTTTCAGGGTTTAGGGTTTGGGGGTTAAGTGGTTTAGGTGTTCGGCTTGAGGGCTTGTTTTTTCCTGGGGTTTTGGGTGTCTGGGGATGTATACCTCACGGGTAATCATTTGGCCCTACACCTAAACTCTAAACCCTAAAACGGAAAGGGACCCCAGAGGTTAATCTCTTGGCGCTGCGCCTGCAGTTGACGCGCGCTTCAGAACTGTGGAAGCCCCGAGCAAAAAAAGAATCCCAAAGCTGCAGAGACCGTGAGCAAAACAAGCAGGTGTTGTGAGCAAAAGACAACACTCTAAGGGGTCAAGCAACAAACCCCAACCCTAAACCCGACCCGAGACCCAGAAAACACCATGAGGGTCGGTGAAAAGTGTCTTCTCGCTGGTTGTTAGATCGGGAGTCAGGAAGTCGGGTTTGCACGGGTCTGGCGGGTTAAACACCAGGGTTATATGTATATATATATATATATATATAGATATATATGTATATGTATAATCTAAATAAATAAATACATAACATATATGCGTATATACACACACATTTACCTATCTGTATATATACATATATAGGTATGTACATATGGGCCAACCTGAAAGGCGCTTGTAGGGTTTGGGGCTCTAGTCAACATAAGGTACCTACTTTCCTGACTCTCTATCGCGAGCCTAGAAGTATTCACATCCTACGCGTGTGAGCATCAGGTTCAGGGGCACCTTCTCTATTGGGTCTGACGGCAGAGGTTTAGGGCGTTCGAGTTTTGGGGTTTGGAGTTTGAGTTTAGGCTAGAGGTTAGGGTGAAGTCGGTCAGCAACTGCCCCCGGCGGCCGAGTCACATCTCTGCAACGTGCGGGTAGCGCAGGGTGGGCTTAGTGACCTCGGCGACAATTATGCAAAATCTCTTTGCTAGCCCAAGGCCTGAAAGGCCCTATAGTGCCCCCCTGAACCCTTGCAAACCTCAAGCCACATCAGCTCCAAACACCATATCATGTAGCCTTCACGCCGAAACACCTCATGTTTCTCTCTTCTCAGAAACCCCTAACCCCTAAACCCCTAAACCCCTAAACCCCTCAACCCCTCAACCCCTCAACCCCTCAACCCCTCAACCCCTCAACCCCTAAACCCCTAAACCCCTAAACCCCTAAACCCCTAAACCCCTAAACCCCTAAACCCCTAAACCCCTAAACCCCTAAACCCTAAACCCTGCCAAAGGGAGCTTCTGAGTCTGCATCTTCCAATCTCGAGGATACTAAGCTTTCGGCTTTCAAGCCCCTCAGCCCTACATACCCCGAAATCCTAATCCCAAAAGACTCACTTCTTCAAGTTTCCTACCGGGGGCCCCCAGTCCAAGAAAGAAAGGAACAAGCTTTTGAGAAGCGTACCTATACCCACAAGGTCCCTCCTTGCTTGGGTCTAGGGTGTTTAAGCGAAGCCTTCATGAAGCCCTTTGCCATAAAGACGCTGAAGTTGACTTGTGCCCTAAGCTGTTCATTCAGGTTGGGATTTCCGTGAGTGAATCAGCCCCCTCCCCTATGAAGAACGGGAAATGAGCACCTATCCTAGAGCCCGGCCCAGTGGAAATAGAGCCTCAAACTCTACACCACGACAGCCCCAAACCCTGAAACTCTAAAACCTACAAAGCCCTGAAGCCCAACACCTGAAACGCGAAAAAATCCTAAAGGCCAGACCAAGAGCCCAACCCTAAAACGCGAAACAAGCGTGTAGCCCCAGAACCCTCAACCGCAAACCCCAAACCCCAAACCCTAAACCCTAAACCCTAAACCCCAAACCCCAAATCCCTAAACCCCAAACCCCAAATCCCTAAACCCAAAACCCCCAACCCAAACAGCTCGAAAGTCCGAAGCGCATGGATGTCGCCGCCACGATCGCGCAGCAATCCCAGGCTGGGTTCGGGCCACGGTTTAGGGTTTAGGGTTTAGGGTTTAGGGTTTAGGGTTTAGGGTTTAGGGTTTAGGGTTTAGGGTTTCGGGTTTAGGGTTCGAGCTTGGGGCGTCTTCTTGGTTTCAGGTTCCCTTCCGGGTTGGGGTTTAGGGTTTAGGGTTTAGGGTTTAGGGTTTAGGGTTTAGGGTTTAGGGTTTAGGGTTTAGGGTTTAGGGTTTAGGGTTTAGGGTTTAGGGTTTAGGGTTTAGGGTTTAGGGTTTAGGGTTTAGGGTTTAGGGTTAGGTTTAGGGTTTAGGGTTTAGGGTTTAGGGTTTAGGGTTTAGGGTTTAGGGTTTAGGGTTTAGGGTTTAGGGTTTAGGGTTTAGGGTTTAGGGTTTAGGGTTTAGGGTTTAGGGTTTAGGGTTTCGGGTTTCGGGTTCCGGGTTTCGCGCTTAGGGTTTCGGGTTTCGGGCTGGATCCCTAACTATGTAAAAATATCGCCAACGCCTTAGAAAGGACCATGATTCTTACATACTTTGGGGGTTTCGGCAAACCCCAACCCTAAACCGACGAAACAGCGGCTTTCAGGAGCCATCCAGTTTGCTGTTGCTGGATAGGGGCTTTGGCTAGTTGTGTGGGGCCGTCGTCCACAATGCTTTAGGGGTTGAGGTCTAGGGTTTAGGAATTAAGGCTTGGGGTTCAAGGTGAAGCAAAGAAAGCAAAAAGGCCAGCAATAAGCCCCAGCCGCTAGCCCCCTACCATCCATGCCTCAAGTACTCAAGCTCCAAGAATACCCTCCAAACACTTTAAAACCTCTGAACCCTCTAAACCCTGTAAACCCTAGAAGCCCTGTAAACCCTCTCTAAACCCCTATAATCCCCTAAAAAAACCCTAAACCCCTGTAAACCCTGTAAACCCTATAAACCCTGAACCCTAAACCCTAAACCCTAATCCCTTCACGGTTTACAGAAACCCCATCGAAGTTGAGAGTCCAACTATCGCCCAAGCAATTATCGAAATTCGCCGGCTCCCACGCTACCCTCCTCCACCCAAGGGTTTAGGGTTTAGGGTTTAGGTTAAGGGTTTAGGGTTTAGGGTTTAGGGTTCAGGGCTTAGGGCTTAGGACTTAGGGTTCAGGGCTTAGGGAGCCCTGCAGCCAAGCCGCGTGTCCGATTTCACCCAGTCTTGCCCTTGTGGCATCACGTTCCTCGGCGACCGCTTGTGCTTCTAAGCTTCCGGAGCGACGAGGGTTTAGGGTTTAGGGTTTAGGGTTTAGGATTTCAGGGGTTACAGGGCACAGCCTCTAGACCCAAGAGCAGCCAATTCATAAACAGGGTGCCCTTTTTGGTGAAGGCTACTTCATGCCTTCCTTCCCCGAAACCCTAAACCCTAAAGCCGAAACCCTCAACCCCCACCCCCCCCAGTACCCCTAAGATTCCACTCATGTTCCCTTGAAAAAGCACTGCAGGGTTTAGGGTTTAGGGTTGAGGGTAACGGTATAGGGCAAGCCATATTCCAGGGTGACCACCCTCTTTGGCTTGAATTGGCTTACCCCCCAAACCCGAAACAGGGAATAAGGGTACTACATACTGTACCAGGGAGGGGGTTTAGGGTTTAGGGTTTAGGGTTTAGGGTTTAGGGTTTAGGGTTTAGGGTTTAGGGTTTAGGGTTTAGGGTTTAGGGTTTAGGGTTTAGGGTTTAGGGTTTATGGTAGCCAGGTGGCAGCCGAAAGCTGTTGCGTGCGAATGCCCAGTTCCTGCGAAGGATCCGCCACGCGCTCAACGAGAACCCTCAACGCCACAGATTTGGAGGTCTACGAAAAAAAGTGTCACCCCTCAAAATGAACCTGCAAATCATAAGATTCCCGCATAATAAGGACCCCAAGACGGTACCCCTAATTTCGGAAACCCCCCCATTTTCAGGGGGATTGCAATACCCTACAAAGGTTAACACACGAGGTGTGCAAAACATGTCCCTGGTGTCGAGCGCGGAAGACGCCACACGCAAAGAATAAAGGCCCACTTACTCGGTACCGAAGTGATGCATCGACATGAGGGACATCCGGCCCCCCCGCCGAATGCCCTTGAAATCCAGAGAGCCGAACCCTGGCCCCTAAACCCTAAACCCTAAACCCTAAACCCTAAACCCTAAGCCCTAAGATCCAAGTTCCTGTTCGAGAACTTCTGGGTTATGTTGGCGGGGGTCGACCCTGCCAAGGACGGCCGCGAGTTTCAGAATTTCAGAATCCCCTGTCCTCAACATCCCCTCTGTTGTTCTTGCTTGCTTGCTTGTTCTTGTTATACCACTCCCCAGGTTTGGGGGGCGGGTCTGTGCGGCTGCTACAACTCTCCAAAAGGGATGAGTGCACGAAAGCCTCTCTAAACCCTGAAGCCTAACAGCACCTTCACACCCGCGATCTCCGGTTTGGGCTGCCTCGCTGCGGGGCCGGGGTTCAGGGTTGTGGGTTTGGGGCCCCTAGAAACCCTAAACCCTAAACTCTGCTTTCAGCCCTTTCCTAGGATGCTCAGTAACCCAGGATTAAAAAGGGTACCCTTTTTTGTTTAAAGGGGTTTATAAGGGAACCTAACCCCCCAAAAAAGGGAATAAGGGCACTACTGGGCATCCTAGTTTCTCTTTAAGGCTACGCAAAAGAAGACACCAGAGCACATACAGAACGGTCCGGAGCACGTTCTCCACGTCGTCGGCGGTGATGCCGCCCTTGCCGCGCTTGAGGATCCCCTGTGCGGCATCTGGAAACCCTCAACGGTTTCGGGTTTAGGGTTTATATTAGGGTTTAGGGTGTAGGGTTCAGGGTTCAGGGTTTAGGGTTTAGGGTTTAGGGTTTAGGGTTTAGGGTTTAGGGGTTCTGTAAGCCGACGAGGAAGAAGAACCTAAGCTAACTGGTCCCACATCCTAGTCATTACGAGGGCCCCTCATATTGGCGATCCGGCAGATATGAAAACCTATCCCTGGTCCGCTCCCCCCCATGACTGACAGCCTCAGAAGCCTTCAACTCGATCAAACCAGGGGATGTGGTGCCCCAAGAACTGTAAGGATAACCCTTACGTGCCCCCCCCCCCCCGGCAAAGGAAAAGGCATCCTGATTACAGGTCCGATTTTTCAGAACCAGCCACCCATCTCGGACACAAGTGTACTCCAACCCGAAGGGGCCTACAAGCCAACAGCCAAAACAACGTCTGTAAAACATTATATATATATATATATATTTTGTTTTTAGCGGGTTTAGGGTAAACTTTCAAACAAATATCCAAATATCCACCCCCCCCCCCCCTTCCCCCGCCTTCGCGGCCCGGTCAGCCACAAGCCGGTGTGCGCGCATGTGCATCTCAGGGTTTGGTGAGATGGTTTGGGGTTTAGGGTCTAGGGTTTAGGGATTAGGGTTTGGGGTGTGTTACGTTCTGGGTTGCTCGCTAGGCTCCGGGGCCTCACCTTATTTTTCATTTATAACCGGCCCCTCTGCCCGGGTCGCTCGCAACATCGCGTGGCGGTAAGCCCACCCCAAGCCACCCGGCATATCTATTTTAGGGTTTAGTTCCTAAAGTCTTGTTTTTGCTTTTTCCAGCGGGGCATGCTGTGTCCCTGCGCACGCTGTTTCTGCACCGTCCCGATCTGAGCCTCGCTGGGGCAAGGCTGCAAAGAGGTGAAGTTGTGGAAAACGCTGCCCCTAGGCTGTGAAAGGTCGGGGGGATAGCCCTTCATCATCAAAGTCGGGAAGGGGTTGTTGGAAGGCGTTTGGCATCCCTCATCTGCCTTCACGGAAGGCGTCTGGCATGTATCTCACAGATTGGTTTGGGTTACCGTAGGGGTACCGTTGCTCCTGGGCCAGCATCCCGACGTGCTTCTTTGAGGGCGTTTGGCATCCCTTGTCTGCGACCCTCGTTTGCCAGCACGGAAACCAGCGACACAAAACAGTTTGGGTTACCGAAGGGTAGCGCTGCCCCTCGACCGGGCCAGCGTCCCGATACGACTCTCCCTGGACCAAGACTAGGCTGTGAGAAGGTCGTGGGGGTGGCCCATTGGTTTGGGTTACCGTAGGGGTACCGTTGCCGTTCGACTTCTTTGAAGGCGTTTGGCATCCCTTGCCAGCACGGAAACCATCGACGCAAAGCAGTTGGGGTTAGCGCTGCCCCTCGATCGGGCCACGTCCCGATACGACTCTCCCTGGACCAAGACTAGGCTGTGAGAAGGTCGTGGGGGTGGCCCATTGGTTTGGGTTACCGTAGGGGTACCGTTGCCGTTCGACTTCTTTGAAGGCGTTTGGCATCCCTTGCCAGCACGGAAACCATCGACGCAAAGCAGTTGGGGTTAGCGCTGCCCCTCGATCGGGCCACGTCCCGATACGACTCTCCCTTGATCAAGACTAGGCTGTGAAAAGGTCGTGGGGGTGGCTGATTGGTTTGGGTTTCCGAAGGGGTAGACCGGGCCAGCGTCCCGACACGACTCTCCCTGGACCAAGACTAGGCTGTGAGAAGGTCGTGGGGGTGGCCCATTGGTTTGGGTTACCGTAGGGGTACCGTTGCCGTTCGACTTCTTTGAAGGCGTTTGGCATCCCTTGCCAGCACGGAAACCATCGACGCAAAGCAGTTGGGGTTAGCGCTGCCCCTCGATCGGGCCACGTCCCGATACGACTCTCCCTTGATCAAGACTAGGCTGTGAAAAGGTCGTGGGGGTGGCTGATTGGTTTGGGTTTCCGAAGGGGTAGACCGGGCCAGCGTCCCGATACGACTCTCGCCTCCCATGCCTCTGGAGGTTACTGCAAGCCTTTGTGAGGGCCTGTTAGGGCTTCCGGGAAACTCCCAGAACCAGCGAGTTCAGTACTAAAGATTCGCATTTTCATTGTGGGTCCAGGCCAATCCTGGGTTCCCCTCATTGGGGGGCTTGGAGAAGCTTTGTTGTGAACACAAAAAGGATTGGAGAGCCCAAAAAGTTCAAAAATCTGGCTTGGGAGAAGCATAGAAAGGCTCAGAAAATAGCCTGGAATAAGCTCAAAGAAAAAACTCAGAAATGGTCCGGGAGCCAAAAAACCCAGAAATGGTTCGGAAGGAGCCCAGAAAAGGCTCAGGAATGGTCTCCGGAGGAGCCCAAAAAGGCTCAAAAATGGTCTGGAGAGCCTAAAAGGCTCGAAACGGTCGGGGAGAAGCAAGCCAAGAAATGGTTTGAAAAAGGCTCAGAGGGCGGTCTGAGCCCGGCAACGGTCCTTGAGGGGGGCCCGGGTTGCACCAGCAAGTCCTTGGTGGGGGCCAGGTTGCACGAGAAACGGGGGGGGGCAGGTTGCACCAGCAACGGTCCTTGGGGGGGGCCAGGTTGCACCAGCAAAAGGTCTTGGGTTTAGGGTCTTTACCTTTGACACTCAAAGGCTCGACCGCCTTGACGGCCAGTGTGGGCCTTACCTTGTCTTGGAGCGTCCAGCAGCCCCAGCTTTACCTGGGCTGCACGTTCAGTGCTCTCAGGTCGCTCGCGAAGCTCGGACGGCTTCGGGCTCTCAAGTGTTGGTAGCGAGCCCTCAGCAAAGACTTTGGGGTTTAGGGTTTCGGGTTTGGGGTTCGGTGAGATGGTTGAGGGTCATGGGCCTAAAATCTCGGTGTTCGGTGAGACGGTTTAGGGTCATGGGCCTGGAGGGAAAGAAAGCCTTCAAAAGGGACCGAAGCCCCGGAAAGGCTTTAAAACCCTAAGCCCATCCCTAAACTCCGAACCCCAGCACTGCGGGTTGAGGGTTGAGGGGTTCAGGGTTTAGGGTTGAGGGGTTCAGGGTTTTGGGTTGAGGGTTTAGGGGTCTCGAGTTTCGGGTTTAGTGTCCAGCGGATTTACTTACCACCTCCCTATTACCTTGAGTTTGGGGGTTCGGAGGGTTCAGGGCTTAGACTCTGGAGGGGGTTTAACTACCACCTCCCTAATACCTTGAGTTTGGGGGGTTAGAGGGTTCAGGGCTTAGACTCTAGAGGGGGTTTAACTACCACCTCCTTGATTCCTGTATGTTAAGGAACATGCCTTAACACATGATAGGGCCGGGGCTTCCTGGGCATTACGATATCTCAAGAATGCCCCACTTCCTTCATGTGCACGTATCTGTGTATATATATATATATGTATACATATATATATATATAATATATACATATATATTTTTGTATATTTATGTACCACATATATCCATACACGACCCCTTGTGCTTTTGTTCGGGGAGACTGCCTAAGTCGGCGTCCTAGAAAGCTCCAAGCCCTAGCTAGAGCCTATCAACCCGAAGTAGGCCCTAAACCCTAAACCCTAAACCCCTAAACCCCTAAACCCCTAAACCCCTAAACCCCTAAACCCCTAAACCCCTAAACCCCTAAACCCCTAAACCCCTAAACCCCTAAACCCTAAACCCTTTTAAAACTCTGTAGCACTTAGCCCGGCAAGGCACCGATTCCATGGCCCCCCGCTCGATGCGAAGCTCCGCCACTTTCAGCCCACAGCGGTGCGCCAGCTCCTCAGATCAGGGCTTAGGGTTTAGGGTTTAGGGTTTAGGGTTTAGGGTTTAGGGTTTAGGGTTTAGGGTTTAGGGTTTAAGGTTTAGGGTTTAGGGTTTAGGTTTTAGGTTTTAGGTTTTAGGGTTTAGGGCTTAGGGTTTTGTAGTTTGGGTTTTGTGGTTTGGGGTTTAAGAGTTTAGGGTTTAGGGTTTATCTATAGGGTCGAGAAGGATTGGGAGGCTGTTTATGGTTGAGAGGGTTTAAGGGGTTTAGAGACCTTAGAGGGCTTAGGGCAGTTCTCAAAACCCTAAACCCTAAACCCTGGTCTAATCCCCTAAACGGCCATGAGGATGCTCCCGGGCGCCCTTGTGTCACTGTCTGCAGATCTTCCCAGAACTCTGGGTAGACAAGGCTTAGGCACCTGGTGGTTTGAGCTTTAGGAGTTTAGGAGTTTAGGAGTCTAGGAGTTTAGGAGTTTAGGAGTTTTAAGGTTTAGGGGGGGGGCATTTCGCCTTCTTCGAGTCCCAGGATTCTGCCGCGACGCTTCCTCGCACCGCTGTCCCTAAGCCGATCGAAGCCCTAAACCCCACACCTCGGTCATTCATCCTTCACAGAATGCTCAACCCCCCCCCCCCCCCCCCCCCCCCCCCCCCCCCCACACACACGTGTCATCCAGGATCCATGACTCTGGCGGCACGAAGAGAGTTTAGACATAGGACTTCGGGCTCGATTTGTTCAGCAAAAAAGGGCGCCAAACCCTAAAGTCTCAAACGGGCCAGCAGTGGCAATCCCTAAGCTCGAACCCGAATTCCCATCGCTTGCCCCACCTTCCCCGTGCCGAACCCCAGACGACAAGCGGCACGCATGTACCAGTTCATGATCGCCTTGTCGACGTCAGTGAGCTGCATGTCATCCTCGACCTTCTTACTGTTGGTTAGCAGGGAATGAGAGAACTTGGGCCCTATATACACCCTTTAAAGGATTCTGCAGGGTACCTCATTCCACCATTCCCTACTAACCAACAGTAAGCCTTCAGTTGCACAAAGACTTTAGGCACTGAAAGCCAACGACTGTTACACACCCTGATAGCCCCCCTCCCATTCTCAACACAGCCTGCCCCTTAAAGCTCTCTGAAAAGTAAATTTTCCTAACTACGACTATGATCCTCTTAAACCCAACAAGGGAAACATATGCAATATCTCAAGGGCCTACCTAGTAACCACCTCGAATTGAAGCAGAAGCCCATTCACAATACCAAGCCCTAAGCCATTTTCCTAGGGCTAAAAAGGGTGCCCCCTGTTTGGCCCCAAAGGTGGTCATAAGAGAACCTAACCCCCCCCCCCCCCCCCCCCCCCCCCCCCCCCCCCCCCCCCCCTAAAAGAAGGAATAAGGGCACTACTGGGCATCCTCCACTTCCTCCTTATCTCTTGGACTTCCTGAGTGAGCCGAGCCCTAAATACCATAACCCCGAAACCCTAAAGAAGGTCCGACAGCCCTCAAAAGCCCTCAACACCCAGCTCTTCTCGGCCCCTGAACAGCCCTAAACCCTAAACCCTAAACCCTAAACCCTAAACCCCAAACCCTAAACGGCCCTAAACAACCCCAAAGCTGCCCTAAACAGCCCTCATTGGCCCCTAAACGGCCCTAAATAGCCTTACAGTAAACAACCCTAAACAGCCCTGAACGGCCCCGAAACGGCCCTCCTAAACAGCCCTAAACAGCCCTAAGCAGCCCCAAACGGTACACCCTAAACCCTAAACCCTTGAACCGCACACCCTGTGCTGAAGCCGGGTGGCCATGGACTTGTCGATCGGCTCGTCGCGGATCTCCCCGCCGGTGACCCGAATGAACCTCGACGTAGGGTTTAGGGTCCATATGGGTGGCTGTCAAAATTCTAACCCCTTTTGGGGTACCCCATAAATATTAGGTGCCGTACTATAATACGGATCCAAAAAGGGACCAGAATTTTGACAACCACCCATATCACCTACTACTATTTGTAAGAACCCCCCGAAAAATGTAAAACAATAGTCCCTGCACTACTCTTGTAAGGAAGGACATCTTTATGTTGGGGGGTTCTTCAGCAAGTCGTAGCCTTTAGAAGATCGAAGCAGGGAAGCCACCAGTAAGCCCAAGAACCTACAAAAGTGAGCAAGATCCTGTCACTTCAAGGTCTTGGGTTTGGGTTTTCGGCTGTACCCAGTCGGTTCTTCATGGGGCATTCGGGAATTCGGTACTGTGTGTTTCTTGAAGGTTACATAGGAGGATAGAAGGCACCCCTTTCTCCATTCAGAATTAGGTTTGGGTTTCCGGGATCCACTAAGCTGTACCTGGGTCTATTCCTGCCATGTGGCCCATGCTCGTAGTCATAGCACCAATCGATGGGGTAGCTACCAAGCCGCAGCGCTTGGCCTTCTGTCACGGACAGGGCTTGCGGGCTAAAATTTTAGGGTCTAGGGAGCCCTAGACCCTGAATGGTCCAAGCTCGAATAACTAGTGGGTCTGATTGATGGGATCGACTAGACTAGCAATTCCGCATCCAAGAGCCGGGTGATGAAGGTACATTGAGCCATCCTTGGACATACTTGGCGGCTTAGGAGTTGAACTCTAAACCCTACGCCCCAAATGCTGGGAATGCCCAGAGTGTTAGTTAGAGTGGGCGCTTTGCCCAAGCTATGGCTTTAGGGTTTAGGGTTGCCCGAACCCTTTTTGGGGTTAAGGAAGTTTGGAACTGCCCAGGCCCCACCCGCCTACGGTCTTTGCCTTGCTGTACTTCTCGTACCTGCGACACCGCGCAGATCTCACCACTGAAGAGCTAATGTCAGCTTTGTGCAAGGCTTATAGTATGATAGCTTAATAAGGCAGTTGAGGTTTAGGATAGGCCGGCAGTGCTGAAGATACCAACCAGTGAGCAGCTTCTCAAGGCTCCAAACTGAGCCACGTGTCCCAAGTGCTGCAAGGCTCCAAAATGTCCCAAATTTTATGTGCCCCAAATGATCCAAGTACCCCAAGGGACCCACGTGACACGTGACCCAGGTGACCCGAGTGGTGACCAAGTGATCCAAGTGTCCCAAGTGCCCCTAAACCCTAAACCACCCTAAACCCTAAACCCTAAACCCTAAACCACCCTAAACCACCCTAAACCCTAAACCCTAAACCGTAAACCCTAAACCCTATATATCCCAAGTGTCCCATCCCAAGTGTCGGGTGCCAGTGTCCCGAGGGACAAAAGTGGCCCAAATGGCCCAAGGCTTTCGAAGTGTCCCAAGCGGCCAAGTGTCCCAAGCGGCGCAAGTGCGCCGAGTGTCCCAAGTGCGTCAACCCAGCGTCCCAAGTCCCAAGTGCCCGAAGGGTCCGAAGTGTCCACGCTCTGGGTGGTCTTGGGTGGGCATGTCTGCATTCTACAGCGTGCTTACCAGCGTGCCGAGCACACCCTTGACCCTGAACCCTAAACCCCAAAACCCTCAGAGCCTAAACCGCCCTGGTAGCCCTAAACGCCATGAACAGCCGAACCTAAAACCCTCCGCCCTAAACCCTAAACCCTAAACCCTAAACCCTGAACCCTAAACCCTAAACCCTCCGAACCCTGAACCGTAAGCCAGGCCTCAGGTGGCTTTTCGAGCCGGGGGCCTTGGCGTGGGGTCGGTACCTGAGGCCAAAAGCATCCATGGAGCTTAGAGTGTTTAGGGTTTAGGGTTTAAGGTTTAGGGTTTAGGGTTTAGGGTTTAGGGCTCAAGGGCGCAGGATTCCCTGACGCACCACAGGGGAACGCAAAACAATGAAAGAAAGTCACCACGTCCACTCTAAGACTCTACCGCTGCTTGGGTCCCTGTACTAGCGCAGCGGGTTTCATACGTACTTCATGCGATAGTCGTGAACAAGAACGCATTCAGCAACAACATGCAGGAAAGCCATCTGCTTATTGGTTTCTTGTGTAAGTCTACATTCCGGTTCTCACTAGGGCATCAGGTTCCCCATACACAACCTCTTAGCGGTTTACATAGCGGGACACAAGGTACCTCATTCCCTATTCAGAACTAGGTAGTACAAGGTACATGTACTTCCAGCCGAACTTCACTGTGCTTGCTCTGAACATGGCGAGCTCCTGTCTTTGTAAACCCAAACTCTTTTTGTAGGAACCTAGGGGTTGGTCCTAAAGCCTAGACCCGAAGGCTCAGTGCTGTCCACAGAAGCTGAGCTGCTGGATCTGGGTGTTCTCCGTCCACCTGGTGATGATTTCCTTGGTTGAAACAAGTCGAGGTGTGAGCGTTTCAGTCTCGTTGCGGGCTCGGGAACGTCCTCAAGCCCTAAACTCTTCTCTTCAAAATCTATAAGCAAAAGACCAAGGCAATGCACACTCAAAAACAGCCACTAAGCTCCCTCATCCTTTCACATGGGTAGCCGAGCAAGGTGCTGGTACGTACCCTCGGTTCATCTGCTCTCTTATAGCACTCCATCGGCAGTCGCAGCTGTACTCTTCCCTTGGGCACCAAAAGCAGGCACAGGTCTAGATTTCAACCATCCCACAACGTCACATCCTTTGGGCTTCAGTTTAAGGGAGCATATGGCTCTACGATGCTTAGGCACAAAAGGAGGGGAACCCTGACCTGTGCCGCCTTTCGGCGTCAGCGTGCGGTTTTCATGTGCATCCCGAGCCGTTTATGGGGTTAGGGGAACTTTCCCGGCCCAGCCACGTAGGTTCGGTCGCGGTACGCGCCCTGGCCTCCATCGCGGACTGCCTTCACCTGCTTGCAGTGGCTGATCAGGCAGAAGGCCCTGCCTCCAGTATAAAAACCCACTACCCTGCATGTACAGTCTCGAAATCTTTGACCGGCTCTAGGGCCTTCCCTAATTCGAAGGGATATGTTGGCAGTATGTTGGGGACATAGAATTCATATTACATACTGTAAGTAAATCCAAAGAGGGGATACAAGGGGATGCTCGTGGTACCTTGTTCAGGCATCTGTATGAAGCCCTGAACACTGATTTTGTGGTGGAGGTATTGGGTGCACTGCGGCGCACCCGGCACCCTAGGGTTCAGGGCTCAGGGTACCCCCAGTCCAGCTCCGGGTACCCCCAGTCCAGCCCTCCCTCAGCCCCCACCAACCGCCGGGTTTGGGGTTGAGGGTTTAGGGTTTAGGGGTTTGGGGGTTGCGGCCATCAAGCGTTGAAGGGGTTGAGGGATTCAGGGGCTTCGTGGAGGGGGCTGGGGTCTCGGGGCCTCATGTAAACCCTAAACCGTCACCCTGAAGCATCCTCGACACCCCTTTGAAGGCAAGAGGCTTCGATCTTCTCCAGCATGTAGTCAGGCTTTGGCCACTCCTACGGGGGGCGGGGGTTGGCTCGTCGATTTTGGGGGGCCACCCAAACCCCCAAAGTCTGTAGACAAGAGGGTCCTTTTATGGGCTTTATGCTAATTCTTACATACTTTAGGGGTCCAGGCAGTCTGGACCCAAGAGTAACCTAGGAAAGAAAGGGTGCCCTTTTTTGGTTTTCGGGGGCTTATAAGGGAACCTAAACCAAAAAGGGAATGAGGGCCTACTCTGGGTCCTAGTAGTGACTTCAATTAAGACATTCAGGCTTAGGGTAGGGTGTTGGAAGGCCTAGAATCTGCAAGACTCTGGAATGAGGGTTGTAGATTCGTAGATGGTTGTAGTATCAGGGTCCCAAGCTTAGGTTTAGGGTTTAGGGTTTAGGGTACAGGGTATCGGGTTAGGGTTCAGGGTTGACAGAGTGTAGAAAAATGGGGTTTAGGGTTTAGGGTCTAAGGTCTAGCGTTGGGGATTTCTAGTTTGGGAATAGGGTTTATTGTTGGGAGTCCTTAGTTCGGGTATAGGCTTGATTTAGGGTTGGGTAGGGTGTATCCTGGGGGATTCATGCTTCTTATGGAATCGGGTTGAACCTTCTACAACGCCTCTTGGACGAGCTGAGACGTCTTGTCCTTCTGCTGAACCCTAAGCCCTAAACCCTAAACCCTAAACGCTAAACCCTTAACCCTAAACCCTAAACCCTAAACCATGGTCTTCAGCATGTCCATCTGCACGACCGCTTGCTGCATCGCGGTGCTCTCCGACTGGGCGAGCTTTTCCTCCAGGGTCTGCTGGCGGAGCTCCAGGCCTGCTTAGGGTTTAGGGTTTGGGGTTTACGTTTAGGGTTTAGGGTCTAGGGTCTAGGGCTTGGGGTTTAGGGTTTAGGGTTGCTCACTCTTGTCTGGAGGTGCTTGCGCTTCTTCAGCAGTCGCGCACGACGAGCCATTTCTCCGGAGGGCCCACTTCAGGCGGGGGAATCACCCTAAACCCTGAACCCTAAACCCTAACCCCTAACCCCTAAACCCTAAACCCTAAACCCTGAAACCTAAACCCTAAACCCTAAACCCTAAACCCTAAACCCTAAACCCTAAACCCTAAACCCTAAACCCTAAACCCTAAACCCTAAACCCAATCGAATCTCTCGGTCTGCTGACCCCTGTGCGTACCCAACACTGGCATCCCGATAGCTTCGACACAGGGTACCTCGGAAGGGGACCCACAATCCCTAATCCCTAAACCCTAAACCCTAAACCCTAAACCCTGAACCGTTAGAAGAGCAACCTTTGCCAAGTCAGCGGAGTCCTTCTGGTACTTGGCGGTCTGGAACTTGTTCCAGGTCTGACAGGAAGCGTCTGTTCTCTATGTATACGGCATGGGTTGTTGCTGCACAACCCTAAAACCCTAAAACCCTAAAACCCTGAAACCCTAAACCCTAAACCCTAAACCCTAAAACCTAAAACCTAAACCCTAAACCCTAAACCTAAACCCTAAACCCTAAACCCTAAACCCTAAACCCGGTGCTTACCTGCTAAGCACAGAAAGTAAAGGCCAGAATAGAACACACAAACGCCATGATTTGAAGTAGGGCTTTCTATTGCTTGTCATCCCACCCGAAAGGACACACAATGTACTCACCAACGTTTAAATCTGCAAGAAACCCTAAATACGCTCCGTAGCAGCAATTTCACTCTGTTTCATTGAGGTTTCGAACAATCCACCAAAAACTGGCAGCTTCCTGAGTGGAATCTATGACTTTAGGAGCCATGCGTCACGTCGTAGCTTCTGGGCTTTCCCCAGTAACCCTAAACCCTAAACCCTAAACCCTAAACCCGAAGAAAGAAGTAGGGCCCTCTTGTACCCCATGGAGTTCACACGGCAGCCCTAAGAACTGCCAATCAAAGAGTAGGGGCACAAGCAGTAATTGGAGAACATAATCCATGAACAAAATGCGGGCAACACCAAAACCCACCCCATAACCCTATACACCCCATAAACCCTATGTAAGCCCCATAAACCCCAAATAAACCCCAAATATACCCTAAATATACCCTAAAAACCCTACAATCCCGACAATAGCCCTACAAACCCTATAGACCGTATAAACCCGCTGAAAATCCCCCATACTAACCCCTTTAAACAACCTCCCGTCAACTCACATAAAAACCCACACAAAGACTCAAAAACAAGGAACAACAATATTTCTAAGATGCTTGAGACCTTTGAAGAGCCTTGTAAACCCAGACGAACCCTCTAAACCCTAAACGGGTACCAGAGTCACCCTCGGCGGGCATCCCAGGGTGTAGGGCTTAGGGCTTGGGATGAGGGTTTACCGGGTTTAGGGTTTAGGGTTTAGGGTTGAGGGTTGAGGGTTGAGGGTTGAGGGTTGAGCTCCGCCTCCTTGCTCATCTTCGCCGCCTTCTTGGCTGCCTTTGCACCGCGGTCCTGTCGGACCCGCTTTGGCAGACCTAGCAGGGGGGAAGGCTGCAGCTTGCAACAGGGTGTATTTAGGGTTTAGGGTTTAGGATTTAAAGCCCAGAAAAGCACCACTGTTTTCCGTACTTTGGGCTTGAGGCTTCAGGACTTCAACGGGTTCAAGGGTGTTTTTGGGGGGTTTTTCGGGGTTTCTGGGGTCTTGGCAGGAGCTCTGGCGACCCGGAAGCACGCACAAGAGGCGAAGGCGCGCGCCTGTGGCAGGGCTGATAGCCGCCGACCTTGGCCAGCGGCAGTTTTTCTGTTCGGCTGCGGAGGCCTTCGAAACCCTTAAACCCAAACCCTAAATCCTAAACCCCTCCAAGACGCCTCAAAATCCCTCCAAACCCCTCCAAAACCACTCCAAACCCCTCCAAAACCTAAACCCGGCTGACTGCGCAGCGAGCGGCTCCACTCTTTTGGCCTTCATGGCCACCGCAGCTGCCGCCTGCTTCGGGGTCCAAATCTTGCATCATCCCCTCCCCGACCCCCGCCAACAAAAAAAAACCACACAAAAGAGTATAGGACTGCATATATAGGTATACTTAGGACATATTTTGGAGCGACCTGAGAGGGCGAGGAAACCAATCTAAAGGCAACAGCCCTAACCCTAAACCCTAAACCCTAAACCCTAAACCCTAAACCCTAAACCCTAAACCCTAAACCCTAAACCCTAAACCCTAAACCCTAAACCCTAAACCCCTAAACCCCTAAACCCTAAGCCCTAAACCTCTAAACCCAAAACGCCTGCTTCACCATCGTGGTCGCGTCGCACGGGGAAGCGCGGGTGAGGGCGCAGCAGTACAGCAAGGCTTGGGTGCACAAATGCTGGCGGTTTCGAGCTTAGGGTTCAGGGTTTCGGGTTTAGGGCTTAGAGAGTTTAGGGCTTTAGAGTGCTTAGAGAGTTTAGGGTTTAGGGTTTAGGGTTTAGGGTTTAGGGTTTAGGGTTTAGGGTTAGGGAGAAGGTGGTTGGGGTTTGGGGCCTGGTGTTCGAGGGCTTGAGGGCTTTATGGGTGTGAGGACGCCTGCAGGGCATGGGCCTGGCTTTCCTACTGAGATCGACCTACAGCAAGAGAAACCCTCTCTCCTCTCCTAAAAGCCCTAAGCCCTAAGCCCTAAACCCTAAGCCCTATAAACCCTATAAACCCTACAAACCCTATGGACCCTAAACTCCCTAAACCCTCAAAGCTGTAAATCTCTACACCAAAGAGGAGGCACACGTTACGAGGTCGACATGCGGTGAGAGACCGACACTCAAAAAGGGTCATGGCACCCTAAACACGAAAGCTTGAACAGGTTCGCTTAACCCTCAAATCACGGAGCTGGTGGGTTTAGGGTTTAGGGCTTAGGGCTTAGGGTTTAGGGTTTAGGGTGACTTGGATTGAGGCGCTAAGCCAGCGCTACACGCGCCACATCCCCTGGACGCTGTAGACCCGGATTCAGTGCGGGAGATCTCAGACATCGCCGAGTCATAAAGACATCCACAGGTTTAGGTCACAGAGGTTTTCGGCTTAGGGCCCTAAGCCCCCTAAACCCCCCTAAACCCTAAACCCTAAACCCTAAACCCTAAACCCTAAACCCTAAACCCTAAACCCTAAACCCTAAACCCTAAACCCTAAACCCTATAAGCCCCATGCCTTGTCGGAGGCAGCAGGAGCTCTTAGACCCAAGGACCCGAGGCCTTTCAGACAACTTGAAGACCTCAACGTCCGAAGCTAAAGGGCCAATGTTGAGAGCTTCAGGGTTTAGGGTTTAGGGTTTAGGGCTTGGGGTTTAGGGTTTAGGGTTTAGGGTTTAGGGTTTAGGGTTTAGGGTTTAGGGTTTAGGGTTTAGAGGCCACTGCGAAAGTGCCCGGAGGTTTGGCCAGTGGAATACAGGAGCCAACAAAAATAAACCTTCTCCCCTTACATATCATAGGTATCTTATTTACATATACATATAATATCGTAAACCCCCATATACATATATATATATATATGTATATGGGGGTTTACGATATTAGGGATACTTTAGTGGGGTGGGGTCCTGATTGCAAGGGGATCCTACTATTTGGGGGTCTTTGGTAGGGCTCCCTTATTTCCGTAACCCCCCATATCGACCTCTGTAGCTAATACGTGAATTTTCCTGTGCTTTTGAGAGTTCTCCTTGGAATCCGATGTTGCTTTTCTCCCTCCAACTCGGCAATTCGTGAAGCCAGAGTACCGCAAAATAAGTCTCTCTCCGAATCTGAAACTGAGACCCCAAAGCCGTCTGCTCTGGGCACAGATCAAACTGACAGTATCCGGGCGTTGAGTGTGGGGCTTTCTCGAGGTTGCCCTACCGCAACGTCTGTCTAGATGCCTACTATATTTGCTTAAGAACCCCAAACAAATACAAGATACTGCTCACTGCTCCCCTATTACCCTTATAAGGAAGAGTCTTACTTTATTAGTGTGTTTTTGTTGGGGAGGGGGGGGGTCTCTTAAACAAATCGTAGAGGCTAAGGTGGAACGAGACATGGCCCCCACTGCGACACCCAGATCAAAACTAGACATTTTCTTTGGAAGTTAAACTCCAAGGGTCCGTGTACCCATCGACTGGATTTCTCCAAAAGGAACCGTAGCCGCCTACGGGGGCCCAAGTAGTCCCCCGAAAGTTAGGGTTTAGTAACTTTAGTATTTAGGGTTTAGGGATGATAATCCCCCCCTAGGGTTTAGGGTTTAGGGTTTAGGGTTTAGGGTTTAGGGCCTGGACCCTGTGGAAAGTTAAATTAAATCCCCCATCCAAGGGTCTGTGACGTTCTCGCGCACGGCATTTGGCCACTGCGCAAGAGCGCCCTCCGTCTTGCCATATGTGAGCCCCGGACTTTAAGGTTTAGGGTTTAGGGTTTAGGGTTTAGGGTTTAGGGTTTAGGGGACCTAGATTAGATACTGGGCATGCGCGCACGGACTGGTATAGAGAACGTAGCCAAAGATGGCTTCAAGGCCGGTCTAGTCAGGAGCTCGAAAACCACCTCGAGCCTGCACTGTACTGCAGGCAAGAGAGACCTCTCCGTGAGAGCCCAAAAGTGTTTAGGGTTTAGGGTTTAGGGTTTAGGGTTTAGGGTTTAGGGTTTAGGGTTGAGGGTTTCTGTTTTCAGCCAGCGGCTGGTTTCAGCTCAGCGTGCTTTCAAGACCTGGTGGCGTCTGAGGCTTTGGAGTCTTGAGTGCCTCGGTCTTCTTCAGGATATTTTTACCCCAAACCCTAAACCCTAAACCCCAAACCCTAAACCCTAAACCCTAAACCCTAAACCCTAAACCCTAAACCCTAAACCCTAAACCAGAGCCACATCCTAAACCTCCAGCCATGAGCCCATACACCCCCAAACCCTAAACGATGAACCCGATTCAGGCAGACGGCTCAGATCGGCTCAGGCTCCATTAAGTCCGGGGTGTACGGATATGTTTAGGGTTTATGGTTTAGGGTTTAGGGTTTAGGGAAGGTTTGGGGCTTCGGGGGTTTGGGGGTTTAGAGTATCGCTTCTAAACACACAGCATTCAGCTACTGTCTCAGTACGTCATCGCATAAAGGTTCAATCCGGAACCCTGTTTAGGGTTTAGGGTTTAGGGTTTAGGGTTTAGGGTTTAGGGTTTAGGGTTTAGGGTCCCCTGAACCCCTGAGCAACCCCAAGGGTGAGGAGGCTCCGGCTTAAACACTCAGAATGATGGGCCTTGCTTTGGGACCCTACACTTAATCGGGAGTCAGGGAATCAGGAAAGAGCTCTAGAGTCAGGGTGTTGGGGTAGATGGGCTTTTCGGGCAAACTCTAAACACGTAAACTCTAAACCCTAACCCCCGAACCCTTGCCTGAATTCTCAGCCCTAAACCCTAAACCCTAAACCCTGAACCCTTAACCCTAAACCCTAGGGCTTCGGGCCAAGTAAGATTCTTGGACACAAAGGTCTGTTAAACTGAGATCATAGTGCGTCATAGGGATGTCAGTGACTTATAAGCCACAACAACTCAGGGCCCTAGCACCTCAACCCCCCTTTGGGGTTTAGGCTTTGGGTTCAGGGTTAACCCTAAACCCTAAACCCTAAACCCTAAACCCTACACCCTAAACCCTAAACCCTAAACCCTGCACTTTAGGGTTTCCATGGTTTCAGGGTTTACGGTCAAGTCCGGAAATCTCTCCACCATCAACCCTTTACCTTACCTGCTGAAAGGGTTTTGAAGTACGGGCCCTTGGGTTTTATAGGGTACGTAAGGGGTATGCAAGGGGTCCCCTGTATTAAGGGCCCATGTAACTACCCTAACCCTACTTTGGAGTAGACCCTGGTAAGGAGTATATACCTTTTAAGCGTAGGTAGCTATAAGAGGAACCCAGAACCAAAAACAGTATTAAAGTATAGTACTCCACAACCCAGCCATAAGAAACCTCACAGACTCCTCTTCTGGGCCTCCTCTTGCTCTTGCACTGGCATCCAATAGTCTGGCTTGACATCCATGCGCAAAGCTCCTCGAGCCAGCTCTGCAGTTGCACCCCAAGCCCCAAGCCCCAAACCCCAAACCCCAAGCCCCAAACCCCAAGCCCCAAACCCTAAAGCCCAAACCTCTAACCCTAAACCCTTAAGGCCCACTAAAGGGGGGGGGGGGGGGTGAAGCAGGATCCTTTCTAGTAAGAAGCTCCGCAAAAGCCTATCCGTATGCAGTATGCTCGTGACATACTTGGGCCTAGCTCTGGGGCTTCTTGCTTCGCAAACAAAAGCATTGTTCCCAGACTCAGAAGGTACTTAGAAGATGAAATCGCGGAATCAAATCGCTGCGATTTAAACACGCAGGCCCGAATCGCTTCTTATTCGGTCGTATTCAACCGTTGGAAACGCAAATCGCGCGATTCGGGTTTCCAATGCCAAATCGCAGCTTGTGCTGCTTTCAAGCAGCACTCGTGAGAAGTGGGTTCAATGATTTTTGCGTGTTTGGGTAAAATCAATTAGCCAGCTTGGGCCCAAGGACTTTGTCACTATTTCAGAAATTCAAGTTCAGGGGCGCTTTTAGGAAGCCTTGAATAACCGGAAACTTAGATTCAGAGAGGTGCTGGAAAGCCTTCAGTTGTTTGGAAATTCAGCTTACGGAGCCGTTTGAAGGCCCTCATTGGTCTCGAAACTCGCACGTAGCGAAGTACAGATTTTCTTTCATGTATATTTGAGTAAGAGTTTAGAGTTTAGGGCTTAAGCTAAACACCCTCTCGCCCAACCCAAACTAGACTTTTCAATGTATGAAACAATCAGGTTGAGGATTTTATCCAGAAAAGTACCATGTTCAACGACTTACTTCCGAGAGCACTGTGTGTTTTTTTGGTTTGTACCGAATCTGGTACTTCTGATGTGGGGGTGGGGTGGGGGGGGTTGAGCACGAAATGATTTTTGCAGGCCCTGGCAAAAATCATTTCTGATGTTTTTCCTTCAAGGTTTTTGGGTTTAGGGCTAACAGGCCTTAAGATCAGGGTTTCTTAGCAA